CGGCTCCCGTCGCGGCTGACCCCCGGGGCTGCTGCCGCGTCACGCCTCGCCGAGAGGCGCGTGGCCAAAGACACTCATCGGGCGCGGCCTAACTCGGGTTGGTCCAAAAGGGGGTCCAGCGACAAGGGGGTGGTGCAATAGAGCTGGTGCAATAGATTTGTGGGGTTGCAATACCTTTGGGGCGTGCAATACATTCCGGGGCGCAAATGTATTGCTGGGTTTTCGCGTGCAATACGTTAGTTGCAATACAATACAATACAAGTCTCTGGCGCAATACATTTGCAATACAATTGCCCCAAACCTATTGCACCACCCCCCTTCAGCTGGACCCCCTTTTGGGTCAACCAGACTAACCGACCCCAAGAGCAAACCATCCCCTTCCGTGGCGTCACCCTCGCCTTTCAAGCTACCCTCCGGCCGCATACACACGTGCTGTGGCGAGGCGAGGGGGACGTCAGGGGAAGGCTTGCTAGGGGTCGGTCAGGCCGCCCCCGAGCTCAGAACGGCCTCCTCGGCCGCGGGCTCGCCCAGGAGCCGCCCGCCCAGCAGCACGGCGTCGACCCGCCTGACTCCGAGGCCCAGCCTGCCCGCGCGGAGCTCGTCCAGCACCTGGCGGTGCACGCCGCGCAGCGGGGCGTCGGGCGCGGCCCCGATCCGGCATCGCTCCGCGCCGCCGAACGTCACGAAGCGCACGGTGGGCCGCCCTCGGCAGACGCCTGCAGCAGCAGCGTGGGCAGCAGCTGCGGCACGCACGTCAGGCCTCCCGGTGCCACTCCTCGCCGTGACTGTGGCCGCCGCACGCCACCGCCACCCCGTCGCTGTGGAGCAGCACGGTATGGCGACCTCCCGCGGCGACCTGAGTGTAGCTCTGGCCCGCAGCTAGCGGCGGCAGGTCGCATTGGCCATCATCATTGAAGCCACACGCCACCGCCACCCCGTCGCTCCGGAGCAGCAGCTGTGTGGCCGCACCGAATAGAAAAATGCTCCCCCTGCGGCAAGCATCGCGTCGAGCATCCGCGGCCGCGGCTGGCCGCCGGCCGAGGTGGAGGCCACTGGTTACGGAGGACGTGAATGCAGAAGAGGAGGCGAGGGAGGTGGAGGAGAAGCCCTCTGGATGTCATAGCCATTCCCAACGATCCTGTGGTGATGGGTCCTGGCGTCGAAGAGGCAGCGCCCCGCGTCCGATCCCGCTGCTCCGCGTACTCCTGGGGCAGCTATGCAGACTGGTGGGCCTCGTGGCCGCATACAATGGCGGCCACGGCCTTCTCCCCGCACTGCTCGAGATCCTGCTTGGCTTCCTCATGCACCTCTTTGTGCTGCCCGTGGCGCAAGGCTTGGCGCTCTTGGGGCGGCGGGTCCGCCCGCCAAACCCCTTTTGCCGCTCCTCTCCGTCGCCCTCTCGAGGGGCTGTGGCCTCCTCACGGCGGCGGCGTCGGCCTGGACCATTGCCCCCGCTGTGTTCGGACTGTGCTCTCCTGCCTCTGCGAGGCATCAGCGCCGAGACTCTGCACCGCCGCTGGCCGCACCGGCGTCGTCACCGAAACTCTCGTCCTCGTCCCTGGCGGTCGTCCTCGCCCTCGTCACCGAAGTTCTCGTCCTCGTCCTCGTCCCTGGCGTCGTCACCGAAATTCTCGTCCTCGTCCAAGATTGTGGAAAGCTGCGCCTTTTCGGCCTGGAGGTCCTGCACCACGGCCATGTCATCACTGACCTTCCTGCTGGCCGCTGCATTTCCGGTCTTGGACACATGTTCGCGCGCCCTGAACTCCGAGCTGTTTGGTCCTGGTCCGCGTCGCCAAGAACCAATACTTCACCACTGCAATTTGGGCTTACGTACTGTCATCATAGCTGCGATTGCCTGCAGTCGACCAGCACAGTGCCAACCGTCGCGCGCACGCGAGGACAAACGCCAAGCTCGATTCCCACCACCCCGAAGTCTATAACATCACCTTGATCAGTGGATGCCTTCGCGGGCTGGAGGGAGAGAAGGAAGGGGCAATGAGGAGGAGGGTGGGGGCGGGAAGGCAGGGGGAGGACGGTGTAGGATGGGGAGGGAGAGGGAGAGGATGAGGAAGGAGGCGCATCGCGCTTGGTGACGTCCATCCCCGCAAAACGCCTGCCCCCCACCCCCCCTTCCCGGCCCGAGGGCACCCGAGTGTGTCCCCACCCCCTTCGCACTGGGGGACACCCGGGCTCTGGGTTTCAAGCCCAGCGTCTCGTTGCCACCGCGGCCTGGGCCAGTCCCTTGTTGGGACCACCTCCCCAAGGCACTCCAGGGCCCGCGCTGGTCCCCTGTTCCCTGGCCCCCTCCCTCCTCCCTAGGGGGCCACGTGCGAACCCTACCCCTACCCCCCACGATTTCTGAGGGGGAGGGTGGGGTTCACACGTGGGGGGTAGGGGGGGGTTCGCACGTGGGGGGTAGGGGTAGGGTTCGCACGTGGCCCCCTACTGTTCCCTCGCCCCAACCCTCCTCCCCCCTCCCTCCTCCCCCCTCCCTCCTCCCCCCCTCCCTCCCTCCTCCCCGCTGCCAGGAGTCGCGGACATTAGCCCACCCAGGGTCCCGATGCCGCCCCCCCGCGCGCGGCGCGGAGCGCTGCCTGGCCCGCCTCCGCCGGGGGGCGCGCCGAACCCGGGCGGTGGAGGCGGCGGCTTGTGGCTGGGGGCCGCCTCTTTTCTTTCCTCCACCTCCCCCTCCTCCTCCTCCTCCTCCTCCGCCTCCTCCTCCTCCTCCTCCTCCTCGTCCTCGTCCTCCTCCTCCTCCTCGTCCTCCTCCTCCTCCTCCTCGTCCTCCTTCTCACCCCCCTGCGCCTCCTCCTCGGCCCTCCTCCTCCTCCTCTTCCTCCTCCTCTTCTGATTGCTCTCAGTTTCTTAATGTTGTCATTCATATAACTGTTATTCGTAGCATGATTCTCGGAATGCTCAATTGGAGTTCCCCCTCTTGGAGCCCTCTGAGGGCCCTCTGAGGCGCTTCTTTGGGGATCTGGGAGGCCTCTTGAGCCGTCTTGGACACCATGAAGGCCGAAAAGTCGCATATGCTAAAATGCATGCTTTCCCAAGGGAATGATACGATTTTTCCGTCTTGAAGTCTGCAGGCCATATGGAGCGTCTTGAACCGATAACTCGGCCACTCGGGGCCCTCTTGGACCGTCTGAAAAGCCTCTTGGAGCTCCTTTGGCCCCTCTCGGGGCCCTCTGGTGCCGTTTTGGGGCCCTCATGGGGCGCTCCAAACCCAAACAAACACAAACACATAGACAGAAACGGAAACGGAAGCGGAAACGGAAACAGAAACATAAACATAAACACATTCAATGTAACAGCGATCCCTGTGACATAAGGATTGCGAAGACAGGCGGCGCCAAACCATGTGATTTCACGGGGAATTTGGCAATGTCTGGTATGAGAACCACAGAACTCCCGTGGGATTCTTGGAACTTGGAAGCTCCCAACAAAGAAATCCGCGCTGCAGCGCAAACGGGCTCTGAACGTCAGGAATCCCACAAATCCAAACATCTCAATACATTCACAAGGTTTCTCTGATTCCTATCCCAGACATCCCAAAGATCCCAATGACACCCGTCTCAAACCTTCTGAAATCAAAGGGATCGCTGCTGTCTCGAGCTGACTATGTCTTCTTTTTTGTTGTTCTCTCTCTCTCTCTCTCCCCCTCTCTCTGCGTCTTTGGAAGAGGGGGCGAACAAACAGCGGAGAAATGACGAACAGAACAGATGGATGCGCAGGCACGGATGAAAAGAACCCAGATGATCAGCAAGAGCACGAATGAACAGCTCAAAGACTGATGCAAAATGACTGGGTGCTGAAGGGGGCCTGCGCATGCACACACACACACACATAGATCTCTCTCTCTCTATATATATATATAGAAACAGATATGCATGTGCATATATACATATATATATAGACCTAGAATGCACAACAGACCTTGCGAGAAACACGCTGTGTCGTGTTCCACGATAGCTAACATGCTCTGACGGGTGCCCGCAGTGTTTCGTATCCGCGTCCGCCGCGTTTTCGTTGCTCTTCCTCGTGCTCCCTGTTTCCCGGGGCCCTGGGAGGCCGCTCAAGGCCACCCAGGGGCTCCCCAGGGCCCTCCAGAGCCACGGAAAGCCAAGAAAGCAGTGGAAAGCCATGCAGGCCATTCGAACACAGCACAGCACTCGAACCGCATGGGTGTCTCATGTAATTTCGCGATTGTGGTTTCGCGTCTTCTATAAGTGTCATTATTGCTTCTGTGGTCTCGCAAGTTCTGTGTTTACGCTTGTTGTTCGCTGCGCTCTCATATGTTGTCTTTGATGGACCCTGTTGTTCGCTGTTGTCAGTCTGTGTGTTGTGCCTTGATGATGGCTTCTGTGTACTTCAACTGTTTGTACTGTTCGTCGTTGCTGTCGCTGCCTCTCGTGGCCGTGGGGGACCGCCCGATGGTTGCGCGGGAGGGGGGCAGGAGCGCGGCGATGCTCCCCATGGTTGCCGCGATCGTTTCTTCAGCTCATGCACTGGGCAGGTCCGCCTGCTCGTGTGCGCCGCAGTGTTTGTGTTCACCCCCGTGCTTGCGCCAAGATGCCTGTGCTAGGGGAACCAAAAGTGACACAAGCATAAAAACTCGGAGGTCCGCGCGGATTTCTCGGATCGGCGCTGGGGCCCCCCGGCGGCGCCTCCGGCGCCGCCCTTGGCGCGCTCCGCGCGCACGGGAGGGGGGTCCAGCGCCGATCCGAGAAATCCGCACGGACCTCCGAGTTTGTATGTTTATGCCACTTTTTGTTCCCCTATGTGTGCACACATGCACGCAGTGCTCTGTGCACCACAGCGTTATGCGTGCATCGCAAAACGCCAGGATGCTCGTCTGCACCCCAGTGCCCGGTCTCCTACAGCAGCTGCGTATACACCACCACGTTCGACTGACTGCGCGCGCAGCACAACGCTTCTGCGCAGCGCAGCGCTTTTGTACACAACGATGTCCGCGTGCCTACACACAGTGCACGTGTGTACCACAATGTTTGCACGTGTGTACCACAATGTTTGCACGTACGTCAAGGGAATGTTTGCCCACCGTAATGCCAACATTGATCGTGTGTACCACAATGTTTGCATGCGCCACCATGCCCGGGGGGCACTATCGTGCATGCGTGCACCATGATATTGAACACCATGCGCAATACCATGTGGGCTTTGCGTTGCGCTGCGCAACTGGTTTTAGGACGTTAGTGCGTTTGTGCCATGCCTATTCTCACCCCTACTACGATCAAGGATACTACTGACAACTGTGGTGTGCACCGCGCGCTGTGCACCGTAGTGCGCATTCAGTGGCGTCCTACCTTATTACCCATTCATTGTACGACGCTCGATGTGGTCCCAATGACGCAGAGGTGCAGGATGAGGATGAGTGCGCAGACGGGAAGGATGAGGCGGTCGTAGATACGATTAGAGGAAGAGGAGCAAGAGAGGCGAGGATAACGACTAGGACGGAAATGAGGAAGGGCCATGCTTGCATCTGTTTGGCATGATGCGCGGGAGACAAATTGAACAGAGCACCACTCCCCCTTCCTCCTCTTCCTCCCCAGGGGAGGATGAGGAAAGGACTGCTCAGTGCCAAGCATTGCTGCCAGGGCTGATGGTGCAGCCAGACACTGCGGCGCACAGTGCTTGAATGCACTAAGGCACTAAGTCACTACGATGCTTGCGCGCGCTGCAATGTTAGTGTTCACCCTAAATACATGTGAGCACCAGAGTGTCTGCTTGCAGCCAAATGCCCATGCGCACGCATGCACAGCGCCCATGCGCACAAAATTGTCCATGTGCTTCTCAAAGCGCCAAGAAGCTTGTGCGCATCACAACGCTTCGTCCCTGCAACCGTGCTATGACACCCCACGTTGTACCGTATGGCTGCGCGTGCGACGCCATGCTTGGTTGTACCGCGGTTGTTGTTGTGCTCAACGCAATGCACACCTGCGCACGGCAATGTCCGTGTAACGCAATACATGTGTGCACCGCGATGCCAGCAGTGTGCCATGCGCCACAATGATTGAGTGCGCGATCTTGCACGCTTGCACAAGAACGCCTGCGTGCACCACAATGCACGCGTGCACAATGCGCTGTGCCCTGCGCATGTTGCGTCGCGCACCACTGTCCATCCGACGGCACAATTACGTCTGCATTGCAAAAACGAATGCTCTTACACCGAACGCTGGTGCTTCCGCCAACACTGCTCCACATGCCCACATGCAACGTGGCGCAATGTGCCACATGCAACGCGGCGCAACCAACCATGCAACGGCGTGAATAGCAGAGCCAAGCCGAGTGTGGAAAGAGAGAGAGAGAGAGCGATAGAGACAGAGAGTAGGATAGAGAACGGAGTAGGGAGTGGAGTAGATGACAAAGTAACAAGTGGAGCGTAATGTACCGTCGAGGATGTTTAACATTGCTTTGTAAACTAAGCATGGCTTCCAACATAATATAATATCAGCCAACGTTGACTCCCAAAAAAAGGAGGAGGACAGGAGGAGGACGGGAGGATGGAAGGAGGACGCGAGGAGGACGGGAGTAGCAAAATTAAACAAGCGCAAGCAAGCAAGCAAAAGCAAACAAGCGCAAGCGAGCAATGACAAGCAAGCAAGAGCCAGCGATCAAGTGCAAGCAAGCAAGGGCAAGCAAGAGCAAGCAAGCAAGAGCAAGCAAGCAGGAGCAAGCAAGCAAATAAGTGCAAGCGAGAACCAGCGATCAAGTGCAAGCAAACAAGAGCAAGCATAGGACTCGCCATTGGAAATAGCTCGGGGGTGCCATTCGAAATAAGGGGGGTGCCATTGGAAAAAGGAGGGGGGGAGGGGGGGGGCATTGGAAAATGAGGGGGTTGCCATTGGACAAAAATGGGTGGGTCCTAAAGATCAATTACTTATGATGAGCTAGGACTCCTATAGGGCAGACCTATTTGGAGAATAGAACAAATATATGGGTATATCAGATCAGACCAGAGAAGAATAGAAGATAATCGAGTCGAGTCAGGTCGAGTATATTAGAAATAGGCTCGACTAGGGTAGGATGACTACAATAGGGTAATATAGAATAGGGTAGGGTCGAGTAGATTGTCGAGTAGAGCAGGGTAGATGATAGAGTAAAATCGGGCAAATAGTGTAGCGTCGGGTAAAACTGCGTAGAGCACACTAGAGTAGGGTAGACGATCGTATCTCAGAGTAGAGGAGGACTATCGTCGGAGTCGGCGTAGAGTAACATCACATCGTCGAATGTACTAGAGTTGAGTAGGCAAGGGTCGTGTATGGTAGACGAGAGTTGGGTAGAGCGGAGTGGTGTAGAGCAGAATATGGTAGACGATTCAGCAGCGTAGGATATAGCAGAGTAGAATAGAGTAGGGTAGAGTAGGAGTAGATTGGAGCAGAGTGGAACAGGAGTAGAGTCAAGAGTAGGGTAGAGTAAGTAGAGCAAGTAAGTACAGAGTGGAATGGCGTAGAGTAGGGTAGAGTAACTTAATAGACAAGAACCGAATGCATTGGAGCATTGAGCGCGTTTTTTTATTCGCGGCGGTAACGAGCGTTATGGGGGGGGCATAACGTAACGCCCCCCCCCGCCGTGCGGTTCTGGCGCCACCGCAGCGTCCGCGCGCACAACGACGACGACGACGAGCGACGAGCGACCACGACGACGACGACGACGACGACCACGACGATGAGACGAAGACGACGACGACAACGACGTCGAGCGACCACGAGCGACGACGAGCGACGACGACGACGACGACGACGACGACGACGAGCGACCACGACGACGACGACGGCGACGACGACGACGAGCGACGACGACGACGACGACGACGACGACGACGACGACGACGACGACGAGCGACGCCTCTGGAGGTCTCCGGAGGTTTCCCGAAGCCTCCGGAGGCCTCCTGAGGCCTCTGAAGCCTCCAAAGGCCTTCTGGAGGCCATCCGAAAGCCTCCAGAGGTCCTCGAAAGCGTTCGAAGGCGTTTGGCAACGACGTGCGACCGCGAGCGATGACGACCGACGACAACGACGGCGACGAAGATGACGACGACGACGAGCGACGACGAGCAACGGCGACGAAGATGACGACGACGACGACGACGACGACGAGCGACCACGACGAGCGACCACGACGAGCGACCACGACGACCGACAACGAAGAGCGACGACGACGACGACGAGCGACGAGCGACGACGACGAGAACGACGACGACGATCAACAACGAAGAGCAACTAGGAGTTGTTGCGAGCACATGCCTGCGAAGGCGTCGATGCCTCCACGTGGCGTATAAGAGGTATGCCCCTTACCTCCCTCATCCATTCTCATCCTCCTCACCTTGTCGTCGTCGTCGTTGTCGTCGTCGTCGTCGGTCGTTGCCGTCGTTGTCGCCATCGTCCTTCTCCTCCTATCTCTCTCTCTCTCTCTCTCTCTTTTTCTCTCTCTCCAGCTACAAACACCACAAATGCCTGAGAGCACCGCATCTTGCCCGCGACCACCGCCCCTATGCGGATTTCTATGCGGATCCCTATGAGGACCCCTCTGGGGATCCGTATGCGCATCCCTATGCGGATCCCTATGCGGATGCCTATGCGCTAAGCGGATGCCTATGCGAATTGCCATGCGGATCCCTATGCGGATCCCTGTACGGATCCCTATGCGATTGCCTCTGGGGATCCCTATCCGGATCCCCACGCGGATCCCAAATGCCTATGCGGATGTCTACAAGGATCCCTGGGAGCTCCAATGCGGATCCCTATGCGGATCCGGATGGATATCTCTATATGCGATCCCCATGCGGATCCCTATGCGGATTTCTGTGTGGATGCCTCTGCGGATCCCTTTTCGGGTTCCTATGCGGATCCGTATGCGCACGGCGGCAGTGCCAGTGGCGCACTGGCGGCCAGAGCGTTACGTTACAGGGGGGGGGCGGGAGGGCCATGACGCGCGACATGGCCCGAGCAATGAAGAAACAGGCTCATAGTAGAGGCTCGTAGACCAGAGTAGAGTAGAAATAGAACAGTAGGAATAGGCGTAACAAGTACGGTACGATCGAGAGTAGACTCGACTTGACTAGGTTAGAGTAGGTTGGAGTAGTGTAGAGTAGGGTAGAATAGAGCCGAGTATTGTACATCAGAGTAGATGGTAGATCAGCGTGGGGAATTATAGAGTAGAGCAGAACTGATGAGCAGAGTAGATTAGGAGGAGAGGAGATGAGATCACAGTTTAGTAGAGTAGGAGTTGAGTAGAGCAGGAGTAGAGTAGGTTACGGTAGAGTGGAGTAGGTTGGTGTAGGGGTGGGGTAGAGTAGGGCAGACCAGAGCAGGGTAGAGTTAGGAGCGATGGTAGAGCCGAGTCAGACATAATCGAATAGAGTAGCGTAGAGTAGAATGCAGTAGAGTCCAGCCAAGCCCAGTCAACTCCAGTCCAATGCACCGCAGTCCTGCCCAGTCAACTTCACGTGAATATTTCAACATATTGCTGATCTTCGAAAATCTGGAATCCGGGTGAAAAATCCAAGCCCCCCTCACGGGTTTACCGTGTCGCATGTTGGCGCACAAGCGAAGCGACGATATGATCTTATGATCCCGAAAACGGAATCTGGAATGAACGATGGCATGGTGGCATTCCGATTGGGTTCATATTCAAATCCACTTGAATCCGGTGAATATGGAATATGCGCATCCCTATTGATTCCGATTCGCCTTCCTATTCAAATCGAACTGATCTCCCAGTAGCTAGGGCCTTTTCAATTTATATTGAACTCTTACTGGGATCCAGTTCGAATCCAATCGGAATCTTCTGAACATGGTATCTGCATTAGTGCTGTGGAATTCCGATGTGAATCCCTTAAATCCAATCGAGATCTATTGGTTATCAGCTCTGCTCGATTCCTACTGGATTCCAAGTGGGCCCTATACACACATACATATACACATACCTACCTACCTACCTACCTAACTACCTACCTACCTACCTACATACATACATACATACACACGTACATCACATACAAACACACATACATACACACATGCATCTATACATACAGGCCTAATACATGCATATATAACTACAACATTACACACGTCCGTGCGTACATGCATGCATGTATACATGCACATGTACATGCATACATACATACATACATACATACATACATACATACATACATACATACATACACACATACATACATACATACATGCATAGAGACCTACAGACATGCAGACAACAGGGCACATTCAATCACATACCTACATTCCTACATGCATGCATGCATGCGTGCGGGCGTGCGTGCATACATACATACAGACATACATTCACACATTCATACATACATACATACATGCATGCATGCATGCATGCATTCATACATGCATACATGCATACATGCACACGTCATAGACACTGTCATGCATGCATGCATGTATGCATGGTTACATTTATACACAAATTTATATATATATATATATATACTATCAAACATCAAGGCACCCGTACATACATACATACATACATACATACATACATACATACATACATACATACATACATACATACATGCATACATACATACATACATACATTACACATACTACATTTACACATACACACATACATACATGCATACATGCATGCATACATACACATATACATGCATGATCACATGTATGCATACATACATACGTGCATGCTGACATACATATGTATACATATCCATCCACACGTACATTCGATACTACAGGTATACATACATACATACATACACGTACACCTACACACATGCATGCATACACACATACCTACAATCGTCCATACATGCGTACATACATAAGATTATCCCAGTGCGACCCTACCTAGGAGTTGGAATCCCTAGGAAAGCAGCATTAGTAGTAACAGTAACGCTAAGCTAAAGCTAAGCTAAAGCTACGCCACAGCTAAGCTAAAATTAAGCTAAAGCTAAGCTAAAGCTAAGTTAAAGCTAAGCTAAAGCTAAGCTAAAGCTAAGCTAAAGCTGAGCAACAGCTAAGCTAGCTAAGCTAAGCTAAAGCTAAGCTAAAGCTAAGCTAAAGCTAAGCTAGCTAAGCTAAGCTAAGCTAAAGCTAAGCTAAAGCTAAGCTAAAGCTAAGCTAAACGCTAAGCGAAAAAGCTAAGCGAAACGCTAAGCTAAAGCTAAGCTACAGCTAAGCTAAAGCTAAGCTAAAGCTAAGCTAAAGCTAAAGCTAAAGCTAAAGCTAAAGCTAAAGCTCCCAGGGGACTGGGGGGAACCGCTCCCAGGGGACTGGGGGAACCGCCCGGGGCGTGTTGCACTGCCCGGCCCCTTTAAGCTAAGAGAGTAAGAACCCTTCTAGGCAGAGCCTAGGTAGGGAACAACATACATGCATGCATGCAGACATTGCAAACATACATGCATAGTTGTTGCGTCGACGGCTGGGCAGAGGTTGCTGCTTCGGCGATGTGGCATTAGTGGGGCGCACATAATCAGATATCAACCAGCGTTGACTCCAAAAAATTAAACGACTCAAATCAAGGAATCAGAGGGATCGAGCAGGCTTGGAATCCGCAACTCAGCAAGCAAGCAAGCGTGCAAGCAAGCGCGGAAGCAAGCAAGCAAGCGTGCAAGCGCGCAAGCAAGCAAGCAAGCAAGCGCAAGCAAGCAAGTAAGCAAGCAAGCATACATAAGGGGGGGCCATTGAAAAAGGGGGGATAGGCATAGGCATAGGCATAGCCATAGGAATTAGGGGGTGGGGCATAGGAATAAGGGGGGGGCAACGGACCAATTAGTAGGGTTTGAACTAGGACTCCTATAGGGCCAGCCGATTTGGAGAACATGCATAAACACATAGATACATTCATTCATTCAAATTCATTCATACATACATGCATACATACACATATGGTAAAAAACGTCTGAGTATGTCTTGAGGCGGCGCACTGAAACTGCTTCCAAGCTGTGGTGCTTGTTCCCTGCAACATGTTTACCTCCAGCACGATGGAGCGACCCAAGGGAGAGACCACAACCAGGGGGGGTTCGAGAAGATGACGAGAATGTGAACGAGCAGCGCTCACCTAAGGATTCAAGGTTACGTTGCACTCGGATGAGGAAGCACAAGAGGATACATGTGAATCCATATGTGTATATACAAGTGCACCTGCATACATACATGTGTATATATGTATACATATATATACATGCATGCATGTATGCATACATACATGCATATGCGCGTATTATATACATCAGAATCACCAGAATGGACACCTATACGGAGGGGGAAGCAGAAAGCGAACAGATCGTAGCATCCGACCGGAGGACGGGAAGCAGAAGGAAGGCAGGTTGACAAGCAGACGGGATGGAACAGATCCGCCTGCCCATGAAGCACGGCGCGATGCCCGGGTGTGGCAAGCCCCTCTCGTGCGACAGCTCCAGCCGCCGCTTTCGCGCGACGCCCCCCATCCACGGGGGAATGGCGGTGCCGTACTGGCCAGCCTGGGAGCCGCAGGGAGCACCGGGAGAGAGAGCGGCGAGGGGCACGTCGCTGAGGGATGTGGAGCTGGCCATCGCTCGGACGCTCGTTTCCCCTTGTGCTTGTCGATGTCGTGCGTTTATGTTTCGCCGTTGATCCAAGATGCTCGTCAATGCGGCGGCGAGCGAGGGGGGGAAGTGAGAAGGAGAAGGCCCTCTCAGAAGGCGGCGGAACTTCTCAGAGACCCTCGCGCCTTCTGATGCGTGCTTGTCCTGTCTTCGAGGAAGGCCTGGAACACTTCTCGGCAGGCCGGGGGACTTCGGCAGCTTCTGGGATGGCCTGCTCCTCCTCGCTTACCCCCCTCGCTCGCCGCCGGTCGGGGGGCGAATCGCCGAGGGAAAAAAAGGTACGCGCCCGAGCGATGCCCTCGGAGGGAGGCCTGCCGGACGTCCTCCCCGTCGAGGGCTCGACGATTTCAGCCGTCCCCTCTAGGAGGAGGAGGAGGAGGAGGAGGAGGAGGAGGAGGAAGTGGAGGAAGTGGAGGAGGAGGAGGAGGAGGAGAAGGAAGAGGAGGAGGAGGAGGAGGAGGAGGAGGAGGAGGAGGAGGGGGAGGAGGGGGAGGAGGGGGAAGGCGCGCAGGGAGGGGAGCGCTGGCCGAGGAGGAGAGAGAGCACACGGGAGGGGAGGGAGGGCCGCGAGGCAGGCGCGGGCACGGGCGCAGAGAGAACCACGGCGGCGGAGGAGGCGAAGAAGGGCCGAGAAAGACCGGGAGTCGGAGGAGGAAACGGTATAGCCCTGCCCCCTACCCTGCCCTCGTTTCTGTCCCCCTTCCTGGGCCAGCGGGGAGACCCTCGTCGCCACCGCCGGATGCGCCTCGAGAGCCTCGTCGGAACGCACCCCGAGAGAGGCTGCGGGAGCAGAGAACCGCAGCGACAGAGGTGAAGGGCCGATAAAAAAAACATATTCTGTTTTCGTTGGCGGCGAGGCGAGTACAGGGCAGTTCTAATACGTAGGGTTTTTTATATAGAATTTGTAGTACATGATTGGTTTATGAATCAATTCATGCATGAACTCATCCTTGTTTTAATACTACTAAATCCCTGCATGTTGAATACATGATCCGCACGCGGAGCATGTAATAAAAACGGCACTGTACTGCGCCAGCGAGCGGCGATCCAGGGCGACCGATGCGCGAATTGGCCGGCGTGCACGAGGGGGAGAGAGGGGAGTCCGAGGCGGCCGCGGAGGACGAGGAGGCGGGGGAGGGAACTCAGACGCAAACACTCACAGTCGAGAAAAACAGGGAGAGGGACGCTTCCTCCTCCTCCTCCTCCTCCTCCTCCTCCTCCCCCTCCTCCTCCCCCTCCTCCTCCCCCTCCTCCTTCTCCTCCTCCTCCTCCTCCTCCTCTTCCTCCTCCTCCTCCTCCTCCTCCTCCTCCCCCTCCTCCTACTCCTCCTACTCCCCTTTTTAATTCAGTGCCTCGCTGCGGCCTCCGTGCTTCGGTGCCGTCGGGAAGAGGAAGGGCACTCAGACGCGGAAGCATTCACAGTCGAGAAAAAAGCAGGGAGAGGGACGCTGCTGGACGTCTTGCGAGGCACGGCTCGCGCACGAGAGCGAGGAAGGGAGAGAGAGAGAGAGGAGAGAGAGAAGTACCCGCCGCCCCTCGGTTCCCGCCTCTGGAAGAAGGGCCCGGGAGCCCCCCAAGCCTCCTCGGCCACGAAGGGGTCGGAGGAGGAGGGAGTTGGGAAGCACGGCAAGGAGATGGGGAGAGAGAGAGAGAGAGAGAGAGATCGGAAGATGAGGGAGATGATTCGGAGTTGGAATGGACATCCGCCGCATCCTCCTGACCATCGTGCACCTCCCATCGTGACTTCCAGGGCCACCTGGGCTCAAGTCAATTTCGCCTGAGCTTGCCACGGCATGCCTCTTCAGAACGGCCAGGTGCTGTCGCGAGCCAAGGTGGCTCGTTCTCGTCGTTTTCCTTGTCTTTCTGGGGGGGGGGAGGGGGGGGCGAGGCGCACGGCACCTCGTGCTGAGGAACCTGACGTGCTCCCAGGACCCCTCGAGCCCGAGCGGGGATGCCCACAGTGCGGGCGCAGCTAGGACAGCGCGTGCCGCACGAGGTGCCTGCGCGGCAGGGTGGCCCCAACGTCTGTCGTCGGCAGGGCCCGTCGTGCTGCTCGAGCTGCTGCTGCTGGCGGGGGGTGGCGACGGCGCTCCTCGTGGGCCGCGGAGCGCTCGGGCGAAGGGTCCCCCCCAGGGTCCAAGGGCGTGGCGACCAAGCTGGCCCCTTTCGAGAGGCAGCACCTGCTGGACCAGTGCGAACAGATCTTTCACAGCAAGGGTTCACCCTCTTTAGCGGCGGACACTCAGAAGCAGTATGGTGGCAGCGAAGGTGGATGTTCACCATACGTTGGCGATGATGCTGATGCTGATAGTGGTGATGATGCTGCTGATGATGCTGATGGTGATACTGAGGAGGATGAGGATGAGGATGAGGATAAGTGTGAGGGTGAGGATGAGGAGGATGATGATGCTGATGCTGATGCTGATGCTGATGCTGATGCTGATGATGATGATGATGACGATGCTGATGATGCTGATGATGATACTGCTGATGGTGATGATGGTGGTGGCGAACATGATGCTGATGATGATAATGATGATGCTGCTGATGATGATGGTGGTGATGACAATGATGATGGCGATGCTGATGATCCTGCTTCTGCTACTGCTGATGATAATGATGCGCATGATGAGGATGATGATAATGATGCTGATGCTGATGATGACGATGACGATGTTGTTGCTGCTGTTGGTAATGATGGTGGTGATGAGGAATGGTAATGCTGATGCTGCTGATGTTGACGACGACGATGACGATGACGATGACGATGATGACGACGATGACCACGTCGACGACGATGACGGTGATGATGATGATGATGATGATGATGATGATGATGATGATGATGATGATCACAGCGATGATGATGAAGATGATGATAATGGCAAGGAGCTTCAAGACCATGTCCAACACTCGGAATAATCATGAATAATCGCTGTCAGCAGTCAAGAATTGCGGCGATGACATCCCTCTTGTCGCGCGAGAAAGGCTGCAGTCGGAGCTGGACACTGCCAAGAAGACGCTGCAGAACAGGAAGCAAGAAGCCAGTGTCATCCAGACACGCCGCGTTGGTGGCAGATGCGCAGCAAGCACTCAAACATACGTAAGATAAGCAAGAGGCAAACTTGGTGGAGATCGAAGCACTAGTTCAGCTTAGTGCTACGATGTCGTCGAGAGGAACAAACAAAACTACATAAACAGAAACTCTTTACGGTCAGCGCGGATGTCTTGGATCTGCGCTGGACCCCCTCCCCAGCGCGCGGAGCGCGCCAGAGGCGGCGCCGGAGGCGCCGCCAAAGGGGGCCCGAGCGCAGATCCAAGAAATCCACGCGGAGTGCCAAAAGTTTATGTTTATGCCGTTTTTCCCTCTTCGACTGTCGCGCCCTCTGCCTACCCCTACAGCTTCACTCCACAAGGAGGATGTCTTCGGCGCCTCCCAGGAGGTGCCAGGCGACGCCGCGGAGGTTCGAAGCTTTGGTCGAGTCGCCAACCTTCGCCAAGCACCAGGAGCTCGCTGAGGCCATCTTGGCCAAGGCGCGGGCTGCACCACCCTCACCTCCACCTTCAGGGGCAGGAAGCCTGGCTTCGAGTGCTGTCGCTGGGGAGGTCCCAGCTGGATCAGACGATATGCGTGTCGGGAGTTTTGTGGGGAGAACTTTGCCCGTCCTAATTGGCCGCTGCCAGGAAAGAGGAGGGCGATCACGCCGAGGAGTTCACAAGCCTGCTCAGAGCATTGGGGGTAAAATCCGCCAACCCCTTGGGGATCATCGGCGTGTGAGATGCTTCCCCCTCCCCAAACCCCTCCCCCCAGAGCCCGATCCGATCGATTTGGAGGGGGGGGGGCCATCCGGCCAGAGCTCATCTGGGGGGGGAGCTCCCAGACGGCCCAGGAAGCCTCCAAGAGCATCCCCAAGAGGGGCCCAAGAGGCCAACATCGTCGAATTCCGATGGGGAAACCTACATTTTTATCATGCACGTTTTTTCGGCCTTCACGGCGTTGAAGACGGTCCCAGAATCCCCCAAAACGGCCCCAAAACGGCCCGACAAGTTCCCACGAGGCGCTCGAAACGGCCCAAGAGGGCGCCAAGACGGCCCAAAAGGCCCCCAAGACGGCCCAAGAGTGTCCCAAGACGGCCCAACGAGGGGCCCAAGAGGAGGAGCCTGAATCAACAATCCGAGCCTTCTGCCCCCAAAACGGCCCCAGGGGGACCCAAGAGGCGCTCAACAAGGCCCATGGGGCCCCCAAGAGGCCCCCCAAGAGGCGCCCCAAGAGGCCCCAAGAGGCCGCCCAAGAGGCCCCACGAGGCCGCCAAGAAGCTCAAAAAAAGCCCCGAGTGCCACTTGAAGCATGCAACTTCTAACCCGCAGCCCAGGCACCAAGGATCGCAGGCCGACAACCAAGGCACTGTGGCGGGATGGGCCGAAGGCCACTCCACACATTTGTATATATATATATAGATATATGTATATATATATATATATATATATGTATGTATATAACTTTATATGTATATATAAATACACAGAATTATGAACTGCCGCGGGCATCTACCTCGATCGAGAAGAAGAAGAAGAAGAAAAGGAGAAGGGCGAGGATGAGGAAGAGGAGGAGGAAGCGAAACAAAAAAGAATGAAGATTTCGTCGTCGCCGCCGATGTCTCACACATTTCCGTGGTCTTTCGACCACCCGAGGCATCTCCTCGAATTCAGCCTCCAGGAACCGTTTTCGGTGCCGGGGACCACCGCCGAAAATCCAGGATGAGGATCGACCTCCCTGGCAGGCGCCACCCCTTCGCAAAGGAAGGAACACGGGGTGGATCGAGGCTCGAGGCATGAGACTCCTAGTTCTTGGGCGCTCTCCGCCCCCTCTGGGCCTTCAGGAAACACCTCGTCGA